GGAAGAGAGACTATTGGATGAGCTTGCAGCCTTGGAATCTGTGAGTTAACTCAACGTTGGTGTTTGTGAGAAGAGTCACGAGCTTAATCAAAGAACATATTTCATCATTCCTCGGATCTAATCTTTTTGTTCATACAGGCAAATATACACGCTATGGTAGAATCAGATGATAGGCTTAATTCTGTAATCAGACAGTTGGACAAAGCCATCAGTGAACTGGATAATATGGATAGTATGCTCACCTTGTATACGACTGAACTTAATGTGAGTCATATGAGTTGCGTGATTGACTTAAATCAACTATTCTCACGGACCCTAACCTTTTATCTAGAGCATGGGTGATGAGATCCATCATATTGAATCGCAAAACCGAGGTTTACAAGTTGAAACAGCTAACCAGAAAGCTTTACTAGCGGATTTGGAACGATTAATTGTAATGTATCTGTCTTACGTGGAGACTAATTTGGGATTATGATGAATCATGAAAAATGCATGTTTCTTCCAACTCAAACAAATGCATTCTGTAGAACTTGATTACTATATCAGACCAAGTACTACAAACATTGCTTGGCGAATCGTTAAACACCATACATGGCGTACAAAAAATTGAAGAAGCTGCGGATATATTGCAAAAGGCTTTATTAACATCTTATGACGAATGTAAGCATACGCTGTATCTATTGTGTCTAAAATTTTAACTTGACTTCTTAAACTAATTTTTTTTTGGTTCAGCAACGCGCGGGATGGCAGCAGTCAAAGAAAAGATGGGATTATACACTCAATACAGCAATCAATTTTGCCTAAATTTTTGTGAATTCATGAAACAGGCAATTAAATATCAGGTAAGAGTACTAATTCAAACTTTATCATTTGGAACCACAAGCTCTTTTTATATTCTGCATTAAATGAAATAGGTTTCAATGATGATAATTTGTCTTAGGCAGATAATCTGATAAGCGATAAGACACGAGAGCCTCGGCGGGACAGCATGACTATATTAGGGCACGAGAAGATGGAAGAGGTCTTGCTTAGGTACATGAGCTTATCACTGTGGCTTAAAGAAATTGACCCAAGGAAACATAACGAATTACAATTGGTATGTATCAGACTTTCGCTTTCTCGACAAGAAAATTGTATTGTAAGACTTCGATTATAATATCCTTCTTACTATGCAAAGGCATACGTTGTTTCGGCGGAACAAATTTATCGAAAAGAAACAAAGGAATATTTGACGCAGATACGTTCAATGTTGTCAAAGAGAGAAATATCAGAGGAAGCAACTTATGGTTAATAATTTTGATTATGTCATTATAAATAGTTATACGTCTTATATAACAAGGGAACTAAAATTTTTGGTACGTAAAGCCTTTAGCGCTGCTCTGATACAAGGACATCACAGAAGTAGTCTCATCTATGGTTCGGCTGATCATGGCCGCGCGCCATGGGAATTCAAGGATTCTGGTAGAGGAAAACTACCCCCTGAAGAAGTTAGTAATTCAATGATCATTTCTCATCATTATTGATTTAATTTCATGAACGCTTTTTGACGTATTTAACTCTGTGGGCTGTAGGCATTTGAACAAATACTTTTGACTCTTGTTCCTCTCATAGTTCATGAGCAAAACTTTATATCTGACTTTTTCCATATTGGATCAAAAGGTCCGAAGTCATTCCAAGATCGCGCAGAACTCGCTAGTTGGCATCCAAAAGAGCTGAATGGTACGCGCGAAGTTATCAAAGATGTAAAGGCTCAGAGAAAACTACTGTATGTAAAGATTTTATCCTCCAGATTGACGATAACTTACTTGCTAACATTAATTAAATAATTGAAATACAAATTTGATGCAGAGAGCATATGGAGAAGGTTTTTGGATTTCTACCGGAGGAGTTAAGCAGCTTTATTGAGTATGGCTGTAAACATGACAATATGTGAGTATAAGAAACTCTTGTCGGCTATGCAGCTTCATTTCCCTAATCAATTGCGGTTCTAGTCAATGTGTAGGAATGATTGCACGTATTGAGAAATATATAAAGGAATATGAAAAGACAAGTCAAGAGTTTTTTGTGAAAGTAATGAAACAAGCAAGAGCCCAGTGTATTACCATTTTCGAACGATTTATGGTATTGTAGATCATTTTCGTACTATGCAGTTTATGTGCTTGAGCTGAATAATTAATGCTTCTGCTGTTCCTTGATCAAGGTCGAACAATTAAAAGCAATAGAAGATACAAAAGTTACTACAAAGAAACGGAAAGGCATTGTTCTGTTTATCAAAATATTCCCAGTAAGTAATGGCGATTACATCAACAAAACGCACAAATGTCACTGTGTAATATCAATATTTAGTAACGGCTTTCTATCAATCAACAGAGATTTTGCGAACGTATTGAGCACTCAATGGCAGGTGTGGCAAGCCTTGAAATACGCGACATAGTAAATAGAGCATACGAGACTCTCGTGAAGACAATGTTTGACAGCCTTGAGGCTATTGCAAGAGATGTATCTTCTATTAATGATGACAAAGAACAACTGAACGTTCACATAATGATACTTGGTATGGTCATGTTGCCTATTAACTTTTTTTTTCGGTAGAAATGTATATTTGTTGCTTACATTGCTCAATGGTGTAGAGAATATGCACCATTTCCACAACGAGATACGAATGCGTAAGATTCTTGTTCTTGATCCATACACGGTGTATGCAAAGAGTTCGTACGAGAAGCATCTTGAAGCATATGCAAGAAAAGTGCTTCAAAAGCCATTCAGCAAGCTAATAGTAAGCCGCGAACTCTCATACGCGTTAGTTTCAATATATTTACAGATACGCAATATTTGATGTTTATAAACGCTGTTGCATGGCATATACACTTTGTAGGAATTCTTCGATGGTATTGATAACCTCCTGAAAACATCAGCACCCGAAGAAGTCGGATTCCATATGAGATACAGTAAAGAATCGTTAAAGAAACTTACGGAACATTATACTGCAAGAGAGGTAAACCACCAATGTCTTGCGATTATGGTATCATTTAAATCGCGTTTTTAGTCGTTTAAGTATTCATTGCCCATCAATTGCGTTGCTATAGATCAAGAAAGGTCTTGAACAGCTTTACAAACGTGTCGAAAAGCATTTCACAGAGGAAGAGGGGCTTTTGCGAGTAGTGTGGGGAATCATTGGTCAAGTGGTAATCGACAACCATAAACACTTTATAGATTTAATTAATAGATGTTATCCGGATTCCAATATTAAATTGGAATATTCGCTGAGCGATTTACAGAACTTTATCAAAGTGGTACACGAAGGCAGAAAATCGTGAGAATAATCATAGCCATAGAGTGTACTATTATTATACGTAGAATGATTTAAGAGGTTAATATAGGTCAGGCCACTGAGACGGTAGTTGAAATATTGATTTAATATTGATTATTAGCATAATTTAAAGATTTCTATATATTTTGGAATGATTGACGCAAAATGCCGATGTATTACAAAAATGCTGTCAACAAGTTTTGATAAACGTTGTTTCTAAAATCGTAATTATTTGTGCAAGTTTGTTCTCATTGAATTGACGAGATGGCTATTTGGAATTGCATCGCGACGCACGAGCTTCGCGGAGACTTTCAAGAACGCCTTTCTATCATGAATTGTTTGTTATTCAGCCAAATTACTTACCTCTGTGCGTTTTTTTTTGACAACAGCCCATAAATTTTATAATAATAATGGAATTTTAAATTAGGGCTATTGGAAGGCCAATCGATTCCATCGCGGCACTCGTTTTATGTTAACATGAACACGCGGTATTATGCCATTCGACGCTAAGTGATTTCTGACGTTTTCGCGACCATCCTTTTTTGACAAAGCGGCGTATAGCGATCTCAATAATAAAAAGTTCTTTGATTAGTACGCGTTTTCTTTTAAGACGTCGACTGGCAGTTCTCCATCATTCATTGCTTTCAACTGAGCCATTAAAAATATACTTGTTCGGAACTAGAGAGAGCTTGAAACGTCTCACGTAATTCGGCAAACCTTTCTCTCGGAATCATTTTTGAGCAACCGCAATGGCAACCTATCTCCAAGAAACGTATGGCTTTTTCGTATTCAGTCGAACCATTATAATTATAATTTTCTATATACGTAATACGGGTATTCCTATATATATTTTTTATTCGTTACAATTGTGGAAGTTACTATGGTGCAAGACACCTAAAGACCGAACAGTCCGAAATTTTGTTCACTTATCAATCACATGACATTTATCCAATAAAATTCTTTAAATCATAATGCAAATTTTGCTTTATTTGAAATTATATACTTTCGCCTGCGATACTTTGATCGGACTAATTTGTTCTTAACTCCTCCTATGCATTTCTAGCAGCATATTCTGCTAATTTACCTGTAAATCCGTGCCTATGCAAATCCATATATCGCCACATTTTTCGCGC